GATACTTGATACCTTATAGAGAGAAAAGATACTTGATACCTTATAGAAGTAAAAGACTCCTGATACTTTATAGAAAAGTAAAGACACCTGATACCTTATAGAAAGAAAAGGAACCTGTTACCTTATTGAAAAGAAAAGAATCCTGATAACTTATAGAAAGAAAAGACTCCTGGATCTTTCCCTGAAACATTCAATCATAATTTCTACAAGTAAAAAGTCGATATTCATCTGTCCTTTTCGATCTCAAAATGTTTCCTTCCTGTTTCCTCTTCTTAAATAAATATCACACAATTTATTCAGCAACCGTCGATCTTAAGATGTGGAGTTACTAAATATTTTGGAAAGTAAAATAATAAAAAAAAAAAATCATATTTTGTTAAATTTTCGAATGTACGATTATTTTGAAGATACACTGTGTTTTATTTTAAAATTAAAATAAAAAGTGTGAAATGTTGGCAGACGTATTGTTTTCTGCTAGTTTAATGATTTTTTTCTTACTGCAGAAGTGTATTATCGTCTGCTTCAGTACTGTTTTTTAGTAGGTAGAATAATATATTTTTGATTCGTTGGGTTTGTCAGGAAGAACAGCTCTTTTGGAATATTTTATGAGCATTTTGTTACGCACTGAAAATAAAACAGTTAATGTTTTGAAATGTATTTGTAATATATTTCCCTTACTCGTGTAAATACTGAGGGCTGCAAATTCTGAGTGCTCTTAAATAGAATCTAGTGATCATTCCGGGTTTTATTTTGTTGTTATAATGTGAATTCAAGCTGATTACGTTATTTTTATTGGTTGATTTTCGGGGAACACTAAATTCTAGAGTGTTTTCAACTTGGTGTAGCATGCTGCTTAAGAAAGGTAATGTATTTTTTTTAATATATCACCATTCTTTACATTATTTGGACTATTGTCCTCATCTTTGTTGCCATATATATTATAACGTTTCGGCCGTTGTACGCTTCGGCCTTCTTCAGGTGGTTGGAAGTTCGAACTGAACACTTTATTTCGCTCATTGGGGTAGAATGTTCTAGTTTCACGTGCCATATTTAATGGATGTCAGTTATCTCCTGTTAATTCCCCTCTTCAAGTTCTCCACCGCCTTAACCAGGTATTGAACTCACACTCTTTGCGTCCTGACACTGGATCTAACTAACGCCTTTATCCACTGTGCCATGTGCCGTTTGGAGACCTTGTGGCACGTAGTGTGGTTGGTTCTGCACAAAGCCTTCATCACTAAAATCAAATCATATGTGCTTGTGTCTCAACTATCGGTTCTTAGAAACTGAAGGAGAGTCCACTATATATATATATATATATATATATATATATATATATATATAGTAGTATTAGGAGGATTTGATAATTATATATTTAATTAATTCATTGAGTCTGATAGAAACTTCAACAAGGTTTGAGGTTTCTATGAGACTCGATGAATTAATTAAATATAATTATCAAATCCCTCCTAATAATTACTATCTGTGTTTATCATCGCTTGAACCGGCTTCTAATGCTCCAGTTGGTAGCGGCTTGGTGAGAGTAGTCATGGCTCAGGGGCACAGTCCTATGGTTACAGAGAACTCAGTTGAGTTCCGCCACGGAATATGTGAGCGAGCGGCGCTAAGTTGAGTCTGATTTGGAATCTCTTCGTCACTGAGGCCCATTTGAAACAGTTGGTATGATGTTCGCTTGACAACCTAACTGTCAGGGTTTCAATTCTCGGTAGTGGATGCGCACTGCTGATGAGTCCCAAATATAGAACGAAACGGCCGTCCAGTGCTTTCTGCATTCTGTTGAGGTTTCTATCAGACTCGATGAATTATATATATATATATATATATATATATATATATATATATATATATATATCCCACGTCGTTAGCACAGCTCGGAGTTTCATGTAATCTTCAGGTGCTAAATAATCAATGACCGTTCAGGCGTTATGAAATTCACGTTCTCGTGGTGTTGATTTAATTTTTTTTTTATTAAGACTTGTTTATTTTGCTATTGTTTATTTTATTACTGTTGTCTATAATATTATTTATAATTTATTTCGTTCGAATTCGAAAAGGTGAAAAATTTTTTAAAAATATTTTAAATTATTAAAAAAGAAAATTGAATTTACGTATACACGCTATGTGTCAAGAGGGATAACTCTCTTTTTGTATTAAAAACCCGTCGTTATAATATATTATTAAAGTAGTGTCTTATGGAATAAATTTAGCTCTCACGGTGTTAACATAATTATAGGTTAACACTATCTAATGCATGTGGGTACGTAACCATAAACTAACAAAAGTGAAATTACATATACACACGTCAGAAATTAATCGAATACGATCTATAATATGGAATTATATATATTTATAGATATATAAAAAAATGCTATTAATGATGGGTTCTATAAATATTAATAGGTGTCATACAGGGTGTTTAAAAAAGAATATGCCAAAATCATCACGTGATGTATCAAAAACGAAAAAAATTACAAACCTCTAGCATGAACACATGTGTTATATATACATTCAAGTTTCATTTCATATTTTATAAGTGCTCAATGTGGCCACCACCGGCAGCGCGGACAACATCAAGCCGATATGAGAATTCCTCCCAAATGCGCCTCAGCATGTCACGGTCCACCGTGTTGATTGCAGCTGTTATTCGATTTTTCAAGTCATTGATACTTGCTGGAAGTGCTGGGACATAAACTTGGTCTTTAACATACCCCCACAAGAAAAAGTCACACACAGTGAGGTCCTGGTATCTGGCAGGCCAAGCACAGAGAGCAAGGTCATTAGTACCTCACCTCCCAATCCATCGCTGAGGCACGTTTTCATTCAGATAAGCTCTAACCCCGAGATGTCAATGGGGTAGTGCTCCATCTTGCTGAAAAATGAAGTCATTCGAATCTGCTTGCAGTAAAGTGAATAGCCATTTTTTGAAGCATTTCGAGATAGATTTGTCTTCCCACAATTCAGCTGCACCGGAAGTTATAGTGACGACAGCGGTGAAACTGACACCCAATCAAACTTTGATAACTATTCTATCAAATAACCACTGATTCAGTCCACTACAATGCTATAGACCTGAAAAAAACAGTATAATGATTTTGGCGTATTCTTTTTGAAACACCCTGTATATTAATTTAATATTCGTAAAATCTATTTTGGAATCTATTTTAATCGGTGCCGATGTTCTTGAGCAGATGTTGATTTTTATGTATGCATTTAGCAATCAACTCACTTCTATTCAGCAAGTTAAGATTATTTAAGTGTTTTAATATATAGTTAATATCTCTGTTATATTACATTGATCACTGTTTTTATAACACCCGAGGAAAATATATATATATGTACGTGCAATTATATGCGCATATACGTATATTTTTTATCATACCCATATCTATTTATTTATCTATCTATCTATGTTTATGTTTTTTACAGGAGTGTTCACCCCGTACAAGACCATAGAATCACTCGAGGCAGAGGGTTATAGAGTAAGAGGTATGTGCGGAAGATAATAATTAACCCTAGACTTGAACAGGTTAATATTGTATTGATCAGGGAACAGCCTCCAAAAAGCAGTGGTTCGTGGGAAGAAACTGCTTGGGTATAACTTCATCAGGGGAATGAGCGTAGTTCGCTACAGTAGGTGTGGTATAGCGGGTCCTAGCCGTGACGAGTACAACTGGTGAAACTAAGGCGTGTAGTCAACTGAACACTCAAAATGGAAATAACGGTAGAACAGTGAGAGGTTTGCGACGTGAGAAAAAGGTTGCAGAGGGTAAAATATTTCGTCGACTACAAGGACGCTTCTAGACTTCAGTGGAAAGTGAAGACTGGGCAGCTCCCGCCGATGGCAGCAATGCTCCATTTTCGCTTATATATATATATATATATATATATATATATATATAGTTTATGCAAACTTAGGTAATCCGTATGGGTAGACCTGAGAAGGATGATATCCAGAGAGCTCAATGTAAAATTTAGAGCAGATATGTTTGAATAAAAGACAGACCACGTTAAGATTCCATGTAATAAGCTATTTCACCATAACCCCTTTAACAGGGTTCTGGATCATCAGACTTTATTTCCAAAAGCTGAAACGAAAAAAATGAAAAAGAAATTCACACGTTTTTGACGGACCTCATCAAGTATACGTAAAATTAACGAAGTGAGGGAGTGAGGTGGTAGAGAGGATATGAGTATGTCATATGTATCATTTCAGTTTCAAAATATATATATATGTATCATTTCAGTTTCAATATATATATATATATATATATATATATATATATATATAAAGACATTTTTATGTATATACATTCTTTTTTATAAATAAAAATATTTAAGTAAATGCTCTGTTTATAATAAACAGTATTAACAACATTTACCGACCTGAATGTCCGAAAAATTTTCATAGAAAATATGCGTTCTCTTCTCCGACAGGAATCGAACCTGTATCTTATACGGAACCGTGCTTTTACCGATTTCGCCACAGAGGAGCGTACTATAAACAGAGCATTTAAATATTTCTATCTAGAAAAAAGAATGTATAAACATAAAAAATGTCTTAAAATAATTGTCGGACTTTGTCCATTTATATATATATATATATATATATATATATATATATATATATATATATATATATATATATATATATATATATATATCCGTTTGAAGCAAAACCTCAAAATTGTTTTTTTTATTTCTCGTTGTAGACAAGCCATTACGTTATTTATGAAATCAAGCGTACTTTAATTATATAAGTAGCAATTACGAGTCAGTAGTAAGAAAGTTAGTATTTTCCAGCCCCTGTCCTAACGACCATTGAGCTGCGTTTGAATGCCTTCCAAGTACGTAAATCATAGCGTCGACGTTGAAATACTGTAATCTGAAGAAAACTCAATAAATTCGAGACTGCGGAACGTAAATCTTTTTTTTCTTCTTCCACGCATGAATAAAATAACTTACAAAAACGTCAAATATAAATGAAGAATATTTTTTTCTTTTTTTTAGGTTTATGATTATCCATTTATTCTTTTGGCTTTCATTTTTTTTTTTTTTTTTAGCTGTTTTCTTTTACATTTTCTTTTTTTATTGAATTATTTTAGGCATTCTTTGATTTAAATCTCTTTCCGGTTTATCTTACTCCTTTTCTTTATGGATTTTTTTTTCTTTACTTTTCTTTCTTGCAGGATTTTTTTTAGTTCTCCCTTTTTCATTTTTTGCTTTTCTTTTACTTCTCATATTTCAACGAGCATCCTTTCTTTCATTATCAGTTATATTTCTAATTTCTTTCACATCTTTTTCTATTACTGATTCTTCATTTTCTAATTTTTCTTTTATCATTTCTTGTTTTACATATTTCTTTCCTTCTTTCTTACTGGTTTTTCTTTTTTTTTTACTGTTTCATCATTCTTTCTTTTTTACTTTTTCTATCAATGTTTTCTATTTAATGTTATTCATTCATTAATACAACTTTCTTTTATTTTTACTGAAAAAAATCGGCTCTCGTTAATTCGTTTGCATCGTCGTCATCTTTCTTTCTTTCTTTTCTTTTCTTTTTTCTCGTTTTTCAACCATGATTCTTTCTTCCATTATCAGTTTTTTTCTAATTTCTTTCATATCTTGTATTTCTGATTCTTTCCTTATTTTCGTTTTCGTCATCTTTCTTTCTTTCTTTCTTTTCTTTTCTCTTTATTTTTTGTCCTCTTCTCTTTCTTATTTAAAAAAAACAAGATCTGCTTTCTTTTTTCTTTTATCCTTTTTTCGTTTGACATCCTTCTTTCTTTCTTTCTTTCTTTTGCTTTTATTTTTTTCTCATTTTTCAACTACAGTGTAACACGGATATAAGAGAACCGGATATAAGAGAAACCCGGATATAAGAGAGATTGTCTCTGGTCCCAAATTAGACCCTGTGTTAATGTATATAAAAGAGACCAAACCCGCATATAAGAGAAACCCGGATATAAGAGACTTCTTCTCCGGTCCCGACAACTCTCTCATATCCGGGTTATACTGTATAATTCTTTCTTTCATTTTCAGTTTTTTTTCTAATTTCTTTCACATCTTTTTGCATTTCTGATTCTTTCTTTATTTTCTAATTTTTCTTTTAGCCTTTTTCATTAATCATCCTTATTCTTTCTTTCTTTTTTTTTTTTTTTTTTTACTGGTTTTCATCATTCTTTACCTTTTACCTTTTCTATTAATGTTTTTGTTTTCTTTCATTCATTCATTTATTTATTAATTAATTCATTCTGTTTTTCATTCATTGCTTTTTTTTTACTTGTTCCTGTTTTTATTCTTTGTTTCTTTCTTTTCTCTTTTTCATTTCTTTGTTACTTAATATTTCCTCCTTTCTTTCGTATTTACATAGTTTTGTTTTAGAGAGAAAAGACCAACATCTTAACATTTAATTCATAATTCTAGTTATTTATTCCAATTCCGTTTTTACTTCCTTCTTAAATCATAAACATAAAATCTCACGTATTTATTGTTGTAAACAGTGTTTCTTTGATTGTCCGTTTTCCTTTAAACCTTGTTTTCGTTCTCTTTTAAAAATATTCTTTTCACCTTCCATTCTCTATTCCACTTTTTCAATTTTAAAAATCTATTTCGTCATTTCTTTTCACAAAACACATTTTTTTTTTAATTTAATCTTCATTTCTATTGCTTTCTCATAATTGTCTTCTGCTTTCTTTTCTTTTCCCGCTCTTTTTGCCTCGCTAAAATGTCATTCGCCATTTTTGCATGATTTTTGTTTTTTTTACTTTATGTTTTCCTTTTTTTAGCGCTTTTTTTTAAAAAACCGTACATTTCCCCATCCTCTTCAAATTCCTTTTAAGCCATGCGTGCCTTCACAGGGAGAGGCTGCTGGGTTGGATTGAGTGATAATACTCTGATTGAATCTGTCTCAAAATATTGATCTAGATTATTCTATCAATCTGAAATAGGCGGCTACAAAGTTGATGATAGTGAACATTTCCGGTGCGTGTCACTTTGTCATTAAAGGTTAGAACTAATCAAACCTCCATCACCTCCTTCCGTCAAACTGGAGCTGAACACTTATCTCCCCCACCCCAATGAGGCTTCTTGCAGTTCTTCTTCCAAGCAGTTCGTTTCAGTTCTTTTCTCATAAGTTATTACTTCATTTATTGCGACTTATTCTTATCATCATTGCATCTTTCTTTTTTTCGTTTTTTCTTCTATTTCTTTCTTTTTTCCTTTTCTTCTATTTCTTTCTTTTTTCCTTTTTTTTCTTCTATTTCTTTCTATATTTTTTTTGTTTTTCTTTGTTTTCTTTTTTATTCTTCTTTTGAATTTTCTGTTTGTATTCGTCGCTACTTTTCTTTCTTTCTTTGCTTTTTTTCTTTCTTTATATTTTGTCTTTCTTCATTCATTCATTTCTTTCTTTCTTTCTTTCTTTCTTCATTCCTTTCACTCTTTCTTTCTTTTTTCATTCCTTTCATTCTATCTTTCTTTTTTTCTTTCATTCTTTCTTTCTTTTTTCGTTCCTTTCATTCTATCTTTCTTTTTTCCTTTCATTCTTTCTTTCATTCTTTCTTTCTTTCTTTTTTCAATCATTCATTCCTTTGTTTGTTGGTTGGTTTCTTTCTTTCTTTCATGTTTTTTGTCGTTGTTCCTTTTTTTCCCTATGTATTTTCTTTGCCTTCTTTTCTTTGTTTACATTCCGTCTTTCTTTCTTTCTTTCTTTCTTTCTACCTTAATTTTCTTTCATAGAATCTCGATCTGGATTACTTTTCAAACTCTGTAACTTATTTTTAAAATTTTTGTTTTGTCCCTTTTCTTTCTTTCTTTCTTTCTTTCTTTCTTTCTTTCTTTCTTTAAAGTTTCTATTTTTACCTCGCTTTAGTCGTTATCTTTCTTTTTTATTTCTATCTCTGAAAAACTGACATTTGCTTCGTTTTCTTCATCTTTCTTCCTTTCTTTCTTTTCTTTTCTCTTTATTTTTTGTCCTCTTCTCTTTCTTATTTAAAAAAAAAACAAGATCTGCTTTCTTTGTTACGTTTTTTGTCGTCGCTAGCTTCTTTTTCTTTCTTTCATTCTTTCTTTCTTCTCGGCTTTTTTCATAACCTCCCCTTTGTTTTCACCGCGTATATTTGTTTGTTTCTTTGCATCTTTCGTTTTTTAAAAGTCTCTAATTTTACTTCATTTCCGACGTCATCTTTGTTTGTTTCTTTCTTTCTACGCTCTTTCAAACTTTCGTTCTTCCGCTTTTTGCATCTCGCCCTTCCTTTGCCTTCCTCATTTCTCTTTTTAACATATCCATTCGTCTTTCTTCATCTTTCCTCTCTCTCTTCTTTTTTCTGCTTTTCGATTTTCTTTCTTTTATTTCTCACCTTCTCTTTCGATTTGTTCCCCTTTCGTCCTCTCTTTTCTTCCGTTTACTCTCTTTTCCTTCCCCGAGAAACAAATCTGGTTTATTTCATTCTACACTAAATTCTAACAAAGCAAAGTTCGAAACCCAATGAAATAGTGGCTTACTGTAATGGTTATTATGGACGAGTGTGATGTACATGAAAAGCTCTGTTATTTATTTTACATATATATATATATATATATATATATATATATATATATATAATTATTTATTTAAAAATATGATTCCAAATCGCTACATAAGAGGTCTCATGTTTCAAAACAAGAGCTGAAAACTTCAATATAATCCTTTAAATTAAATTGAGTTGAAATTAAAAGGGCTCTGTTCCATCTTCAAGCGAAATTTTTGTTGAATAACGTATATCTGAAATTTACTTGTTTTAAAAATTGAAATCAAAATCACCATGGTAACAGCTAGGGCGAATTGTCTAAAATGGGTAGTCGAGTGTAGGGGTGTTAATGATGAAAAGCGGTATAGAGATACTTTCAAGGTGTCAAGTCGGGGAAAGGTGGGGGTGTCAAAAATGAAACGAAGATGTATTAAGCTTTCGTCAAGTTGGCTTGTCTATGGAGATTTATTTATTCATTTTATTTTATTTTATTATGAAAGGGAATTTGCATATAAAAGAAAGACTTTCGTAACGTTTGTTTTTTGACGACTTCATAAAGGGTTATCTTTTATGTAAGGTGTTTAAACTACTAATTTGGGCTATGGATTATGAAGGGTGTTATGTTGTATGCAAGTTTGTAGTTAATAATTTCTACTATGAATCTGATGATTGGGTTATTTGTTAAACAAGTTATATAAATTTTTTTTTTTTTATTTCAAACCAAAAATCTGATGATGCCTACAAAAAACCGTTAACTCGTGTCTATTATTTAATAGATTATTATTATTCAGAAGTTTAATAATGTGCAATTTTTCATGGAGGCACAAAGGGCATGGGTCATCCCAAGCTTTACATATTCTAGCCTTTGTCAATAATTTTTCCATTTAACTTTTGGTGTCTTATTTGTTTCCTTCAAGTGCCAAAAATATTTTGATAGTGAAGTCTGGTTTCTTTTGTTTATATTATTAAAGGAGCACTTATGCTGCCTCCATCTATCTTTAAAATTATTTCTTCGTGGACCCAATGTATATCATATTAGTGCTAGGGCTCTCCGTGGATGAAATAGTACATTGGTATACCACAGAATTAATACAACATTTATTTTCTAATGGGCAGTCTTCTGGGTTTCTACAGTTACATAATTTTTCCCTATTATCATCTGATTTAAGTGCAGAGTTTTTATTAATACTGTTTTGGCATGGGGTTTGTTCAAGATCTTATTATTGTGTTTTTTTATTATGCGTTCAAGATTATCAGAGCAGCTGTAGCTCAATTTTAGGGGTGTTCTTGTTGAATATATTACTAAGCTTACTATTGGTGGGGAAGTGTTTATTAATTAGAGCTAAGAATTTCTGTCCTAGTTTAATACTAACCCTTTGGTTGAACGGAGGGGTGTACCATATGATATTTCTTTTTCCTGTTTTTTTTTTTTCCCATGTCTAGTGCAATTTTCTTTGTAGTTAATGTTAGCATTTTTA